GTCTTCATGAATAACGACTACGCCAGCTGTTCGTTCTCTGCAGCTTGAATAGATTATTAGGAGTCGAGTATTGCTGTCCGTATTAGATTTCGGATGCGACTGTGCAAACAAGATTCGATGAACAACTTTCTTTGTATTGAATTGTGTATGCTTCCACAACTGCAAATATAGTCCCTAATTAATGTGACAGAATCCAATTCATGTATGGAATCTCTGTTCTTCGCTTTGTTACATTTTTAAATTTGTGAATTTATATATATTGATATGTTAATAATAAAAGAAGCGTTTGCTTTAATTTCATCACAGATTTCTAGGAGAATATTTTAAAAAACTTATATCAATTCGTTTTGCTCAATGACTGGAGCATCGCATGGAAGTCCTCGATAATTCAACAAAAATTCAGATTATATACAATTATTTATCAACTTAAAATTGTTTCGAAACATTTTTCCGATAAATTAGACTTAATTCTTTCAACGAATTTTCTTATTCACTCAAACTATGATATGATATTACATGTTAACGGTTCTCTGTCTGGTATCCTGAGGGTATTGGGCAATAAATAAATAAATTGGGCATTGTTGGGCAATATTCGCTCTGGTATACCGGTGATACTGGAGTCGTTTGCTGCACTTGCTTTGTGGCAATTATTCCAGACGCACGATATAGCGGCAACTGCAGGCACTGGCCTCTGTTACAGTAACGTGCCTAGTTCGCTTCCTTGAATTGTGCAGTCCCAATCAGCATCAGTTTTAGGTAATTGGTGCAGCAATGTGCGCAAACGTTAATTGGGTAATTTATTAATGATTTAACACAAATAAATTAGTTTATTGAATTAGTTCATTAATAAGTTATATTTAGTTAACAATTTTTAGGTAATTAATAATTGAATTTTTTTAATTGACAATATTAAATTGACGATTATTGAATTGGTAATAATTAGTATGAAGAATAATAAATATGTTTATAATTTATACTGATTAAATTATTGTTCTCATTTAACTCAATATTAAACCAGTGACACTTTTCATCTGTCGCAAATATTTTTAATAGGTTAAACTTCTTTCAATGACAATAATACTTATTTTTATGTGATAAAAATATTATTCAAGCGTCATATTTACAGAGAGACAATTATTTTTCCTTAATTCAGGAAAACTATAATCGAATGTATGTGATTACCAATCTTTTTCAGTATCAAATATTCTTCTATTTTCAACTGCTTGTTAAGAATTTTTTTAGTCTCTTTCAGTCTTGCTAGCCAGTAAAATTATTGCTTTCGCATCATTTTTCGGCCTTTTAGTTATGTTATAAATGAAATTTCTTGCAAACAATTATGCTAGAAATCACCAAGCTTTCGGTTGGCGTTTAGTGTTTTTGTTTCTATTCATTGAGAAGACGGCGCACGCTAAGCGCGCAACCGCAAGAATCTCTAATGAGTTGCACGTAATCGCTTCATCAGCGGCTGATCAAAGCGGTATCAGCTTCTAGATTTGCACGCCAACAACAAATGACGACTTTTAAGGTAGCATCCTAACCCAATATGGCGGCCACGGTCCACCAGTTCGTGTCTCTTCATCAATCGCGATGCACGATCCTGTCGTCCGAATATTAACGCTCCACTGCATCGAAAATAATGTGATCCTAATTGTCGGACTATTCAGAGACATGACTTGGGTCTTGCGCCAAATTGTGGTTTGCTGCAAGTCATAAAACTTTAGTGTTGCGTTCTGTCTCTGCACATTCCTACGTACGAAAAATTTATTTGCACGGTGTGCATAAAGAAACTGCTTAAAAGTGCCTCAGACTTTTAAAACATTAAGTTTATGTGAATACTCTGACGAATATCGCATTCTATCAAGAAGTATTTAAGGAAGAGGACATTCGTCTAAACTTTTTAAGCAGAATTAAGGTCGCCTGACTGCTTGAAACGAAAATTCGTTACACCAAAGAAAATTTTTCCCAAATTCGCAATAACATAATGGAAAACGTTGTAGAAGTCAAGAAAAAATGTATTTCTTGTAACTTGAAAAAGTTTCTGAAGAAATGTGAAGAAAAATAAAGGAAAATTTTCTTATTCAGGTATAACAATATTTTTCCAGTGCATACCCTAATTTTTAAGTAAGTTGTGCACAATTTTTTTTGCGAATTCACACCACTTCTATTATATACTGGTGGAGCATAAAGATAAGGGTTCTAGAACCAGTAACCAACTTGCACATCCCCCTCATTCAGATGTACGTATTCACGTCGAACAACGCGGCCTCCGAATATCCAATACTAAATTCAAGATTTAGGCTTCCTCTTCCGGTGTTTCTAAATTCTAGAATCTAGTAAATTTTTCACCAGATGCATAGTTTTTTATTGCATAATAATTGTCATTGCGAAATAATTGTCATTCTATATGTGCTTATTTATCGATGCCTTGTCTTCTATTTGTCTATTATGCATGTTTTAATATCTGTTCTGTGTATTTCGGTTTTGATAATTAATTGTACTTTTATTCGTGATTTTTGAACTGACGATGGAGCAGAACTCCGAAACGTTCCCTATAAGGATTTGCTTTATGGGGAACAACGATTTTCAATTCAAAACACAAAATTTTGTTGGAGTGCATTTCCTCTGCTTTCTAATTGATGCTAAACCTCAAGATGGAATTTCCTAGTGGTGATGAATTTTTCTTTTATAAGTTTTTCTCTCATAAAATTTAATATATTTCATTCACTTTCGCCGTTTTATTTTAAAAAAATTGTACCCTATGAAAAACACAACTTCCTCTCATGCAGAGCTCAATTAAGAGCAGCTAAATAATATCATTCGTCTTTCGCAATACCTGTAATTTATACTGCATTTTCTTCTACCTATTGCGACACAATTGATACACTGCTATGAATAATGAAGCATAATGTGCTCAATACTGACACGATAATTGAAACGAGGAAAACTTGTCGCTGTGCCAGTCGAGGCATTAAGCCGGCTGTGTTATTCTAGCCTGGTGTTGGGGCCGCTGAAATTTACTGTAATAACTTCATCCATCTAATTGTTTTTACCTCAGGCGCCTGAACTGGAGTTCAATGATGCATTAAAACCTCGACGATTGTCAATCATTCATGCCGACATAAAGTTTTGAGAGAGCAAACCTGATCTGATGCCGTGTCGGGATTCTAATCATCTATGCCGCGTTTAACAAAATTTACGAGTATTTCAAAATACCATAAACATAGATTTAAAACCAGTTTTTATGGTGAAATTTTGAACTAATTCTTTTTGAAGTTTATGAGGCTTCAACATGCAAGTACTGATTCGATTTCTTATGTAGACATTTTTCTTATGTAGACATCTTATGTAGACATTTCTTATGTAGACATCTTATGTAGACATTTCTTGGGTAGCAGACAGAATATTCTCACCGCATCGCAGCAATTTTGGGAAGCGCTGCAACTTGATTTCGACGGCGCAACACCAAATTTAAATGCGAGAATTTTGCCACAAAAAACTGCTCGGAGACGCTAAAAAGCATATTTTTCGTTGTTTACCCCCGAAACTTTTTGGTTGCAAATCAGTTCAAATTTTATATTATTTATTTTTATTTATTATTTTATTTTTTTGGGTGAATCACTTTCTACTGTCACTAAAATTTTTATTTCGGTGTTATGGCTTGAATTTTTAGGTTCAATTAATTTGATCTTCCTTGTAAATAGCACCGAATATCCTTAGCCAGGTAAAAAAGTTAAAATTTAAATATGTTAAGGAGCAATTTGTGAACGATTACAATTTAACATTCAGATGGCGATCAAACTCCGTACATATCAGTATCATTAAATTGAACAAAGTTTTGTCTCTGGTGAAATTAAAATATTCATTTATTCTGCGAATTTATACGACGTGTGTTGACATCACGTCTTCGTTTTTTATCCTCTGCCTCGAGGTCCACCGCTCGTTTTTCTTGGGGCATTTTTTCACTTGAGTACGATAATTAATCTGGGGAGGAGAAGGCATCGGTGCTTCTGACGGGACTCCGGCAATGGCTTTTCTGTGTTAATGAAGCAATTAAGGAATTGTGCTCCGGACGCCGGTTGTCCGGGGCAATGACTTAGATTCATTGCAGCTTTCACTGTGAAACTATTTTTCATGTTTTGAAAAACTTTTGATGAACTTAGATGCTTTAGGTGCAACTTCAAATTCGATTGGATTTTTATTCGATTAATATTTTCTTCCTAAGTCCTGTAAACTGTTATCTACTCTTGTGATAAATTTTTAACATTTTTTTATTTCAACGTTGTGGCTTCAATTATTTTTGTCTTCCGCCAATTTCCATCCTTCACCATTGATTTCATAAATTGTTCTTGCGTTTGGAATGTTCATTTTGGTTTCGTTGTTTAGTTGATTTCCTTTATGAAATTCTCGAATGATTAAGAAAACCATGAGAAGTGCAGCTTTTTATTACCGTCGTCCAGTCAAGTTATCCCTAATTTTGATTGTAAGGTCCACATGCTTATGGAAGATGCAGTCTATTAAAACTTGAATATTAAAATTAAACAATCGCCTCCATCGTGCGACAAGTATTGTTCAATCTTTGGTGTTCGACGTACGATGTGTTCAATTCGTTGCCATCGAGTCAGTATTTGAAGTATCAGTGAATAGTGCATCGCAGGAATGTTCGTATACCGCAACGCATGCATATCGATATTTTTGGGCCAATAAACAATCTCGACTCTACTTCTGGGTTCATTGCTTTGTACTTTTTCAAATAATAAACGAGAGATGAGTGCAAATTCCTATGCACGTGATTTAAACTTGTTGCATCTTAGTCAACCGCGCGCACTGACGCGAATTGTGCTTACTGATGTAACTTTTGATCCTGATGTAACCGTCGATCCTGATGTAACCATCGTTCGTTCTGTCTCCATTGATCGACATGCGATCATCAGTTTTCATGTGACCATTAATTAATACTTTTAACCATCAATCTTGAAGTAACCAACGTTCCTGTCTCGCAGGTATCTCGGCGTGGTGGGCGTGACGCCGTTGCTGCCACAGGGCGATCAGGAGGCTCAAAACTTGTCGACTTCATCAGCAGTGAGCATTTGTCAGCACCTGCCTGGCCTGGTGCAACAGCAGGTGGCCGTGTGTCAGGACCATCCTGATGCCATCAAGAGTGTCAGCGCCGGGGCCAGACGTGGCATCACTGAGTGCCAGTACCAATTCCGACACGAGCGATGGAACTGCACCACCACGCATGAAGATCCCGACGTACCTTTTGGACACATTATTAAAAGAGGTACGTTGTAGTATAACTTCTACGTATAAAATAGTATAGAAGTAATTTTACTTGATAATCAGAATTTTACTTTACCTTCTTTTCAATAGGAATGTTTAACCGAAATTAATAGGTTTTTGTGATAGGGTTGTATCGTTTTTGAAGATTCAGAAGTTTTTACTTGAAAGATAATATTACGTCTTTTATTTGAGAGAGCCTGTCAGGTAAGATTCTGTATCTGTTCTGTTATATTTTATGAATAATTCATCAAGTGAGTTACAATACAATCAATCATGTATTTCAATATTAAAATAGTGCATTATTGAACATAAGAATGAAAATGTGCGTCTCCGGTTTTTGTGATACCACTGCGAACCGAAGGCCAAAAATTTAGTAAAAATGTTCAAAACCATTGTTTGGGCTGCACACAAAGTATAATTCCTTATGGCATACGAAATAATTTCTCTAACGCTTTCTGCTGAAAGATAATTGCAATTCAGAACCTCAAGCAGCTTATGATATTTTTTCCACACATTGTTGATATGGTCATAAAAGCGTCGGGTACCAACCATGTATAGAGGAGACTATAGACTCGTGGCCTCTCAGAGTTCCGTTCAATGAACATCCGCTTTCGGATCCGCGAACAATTTGCTATTGAAAAATGAAGTCGCTAAATATGGCGGGGATCGCGCAAGTCTTTGTTTAGTGTCAAGAGTGCATGGGTCTTAAACAGAGCCCCCAGAACCTTGTAAGGTAAGCTTCTAAAGCTGCTCAGAGGCCCGCCTGGCTAGAGGCTTTTATCGTGCGTTCTTAATCCCGAGCGTCGCGCAAACACAGCCTGCCTGTTGGGTAGGCCTGTGTTGGCTATTGAACGCGAGCGAGGGGAGTAGTTCTTTGGTGGAGTCTTCACAGGGAGATGCCTCCGTTACTTTCGAGTTCCCATGCCTAATTTTTGAATTAGTCACATTTTACAGCGAGCAAATGTAATGTCCGGGAGCCCTAAATGCCACAAAGAGAGTATGGTATTTTTGGCATGGTCGCATGTGCAAATGCGTTATTGAAGTTCTGGGATAAAATATTATTAAACGAAAGTCACTTTATTTCGGAATATATTCTTATGATGATGAACGCCTAATAGGCAAGATTTCTTTTATGTCTTATGGCAAGAACAAAAATTACATTTTCATTATTCTTCACGAGTAAGATCTATGTAAAAAAAAAAATAAACATCAATTTAGAAGGAATAAAATGATCAAAGCTCTCAGAAAATTCGAAACCAAATGACAATGCAAAACCATTTTTTGGATCGAAATAGAATTGTTCGACACTTTGTCCATCATCCTGACAACATCACTTCGATCCACTGCCCCGTTCGCCGACATGACTTCGCCACCTTAGCAGAAATTCCCCGTGGATACTCATTAGCCCTACGCCAATAAATCACCCAAATAAAAGGTTTGGGCGTTGCTGGGTGCGAATATCCCGTGTTGAGGCTCTCTTACCGGCAAACGACTTAAAATTTATTGACACTTTCCGCCACTCTCTAATATGAGCGCCTACTGAACTCATTGATTCTGGGTGGCTGGCGGCGCCTCGTATGTAGTCCTGACATGACAAGCTTCGTGCTGCGAGGTTAGCGTAATGTTCTGTGAAATACGGATAATTCTGGATAATGTTGTAGTACAATGATTACTGAGGGGATCGTGGATTAATTGCTGATATATTAAAGATTTTTCACTTCACATTGTTCACAAGTCACAATTCACATTGTTTTCGTGTTGATGTCTTGACAAGTAATATTGAGAGATTAATGATTTGGCATATTCGGATTATCATGTCGCTTGTAACTTTATTCAAGAATGTGTAAACTATATGTGTTCTTTAATTTTAACCGTAAAAAGATTTATTAACGTCGGAGGAGATTATTCTGCGTTTTATAAGCTCCATTGTTGCAACGTTTCGATAACGATCTTGAGCTAGCGTCTGTTGACCAATACTTTGGTGAAAGTTATCGCACCGTCTGAGATAGTTAGCCCGCTCCTGTAGTCGGATACTGTTGCTAAACTTTATTTCCTGATAACTAAGGCTGCTGTGAGGATCATTTAGCGGCCATATTATCGGTACCGTGTGCACATCCGTCACTATTTCTCCACGGAATTCTCGGTTAAAACGAGGGTCTTAGAGACGCTCAGTTGTGTATAGAAAATCGGTTGCACGTTGGGTTGTACGACCAGAGGGCACGCCATGTTGCGTTCTAAGCGTCGACTTGTCCGAGCATCGCATGGATTTTGCTGCTCTTTTGCTGCCGTTATGACGTGAGGCCGTCTCCATATTTTACATTCCGTCGAGATTCTTTAGTTACCCTTATGATGGCAAATTCTCAGATTATCGAAAATTCGTGGTTGATTCTGCAAACCCGAACACTGGCTCTAGGCTTGATAGTTAACAATCGATCCGTGCTTTGGATTGATCGTTTAACTTTTTTCAAATGAAATTTATTATTTACATTTGAATTTGGAGCAGAATACAGTTACTTCAAAAAAGAGACTATTGCTGAAGCTTCTTCTCTGCTTCTGATTGTCTGATATTCTGGGTGGTTGAAACTTAGAACTACTGGCTTTACATTAATTTCAGTATGACGCAACTGTTCCAACTACAGAATTTACCCCAAGTTATTATCCAAAGCCGAGACGATGTCACCTAAGAGGATTTACAAGATGACATCCCGACTAGAATTTCCAGCGAGCCCCTATCGCTGATTATAGTTGTCAGTTCAAATTTGACGAGTCCTGTGCGGTTTCTGGAGAACCCCATCGCATTTTTATTTTATTTCATTCATAAATGCCTGAAGAATTACACTGATGTTCACGAACATAAAGACTATATAGGAAAAATTTTGAGAAAAATTTGATATAAACAAGGTTAATCGTAAAAACATAGCGCCAAATTTCAACAACGTAAATGTGTTTTTTTATAAATGTTTTGAAAAGTAATTTCATCACGATAGGCCCAATACATTTTTCCTTAGCTGTTATAGGATTCTTCTTGGGCGGAACGAATTTCCGTCATCTAATAAACGTCAGGTAATATAGGCACGGCCTTTCAAGCCGTATTGTTGAGTTGTAATGCCTAAATAAGGGATCAGGGGTAATGATACCATGTTATTGAGGGATTACCAAGGCAGGTAATTGATCCCCACTAGTTAAGGGATTACATGTCATTGTATATCGGATTACCGCTCGACCTTTTTCCGGGATTAGGTCAGGATTTGCGATGTTATCAACAAAAGCGGTTCCGGGGTGTCACAGATTTGGATTCAAATAACGCGGTTGTCGAACTTTTTTGACACGATCTGAATTTAGAATTTACGACAAATTAAGTGAAAATTATTGAAGAAATTAGTTCTACGAGGACTAAGTGAATGAGTTGCCCGCAATTCTGCTAGATGCACGCTACTGAGGTGCAAAATACTGAAACAAAATAGTACGCATGGGCCGAGAGCTCGATGAAGCGCCAGGGTTGTCAATAAATTATTAACCTAAAAACTTCTGAGGTTGAATAAAGTATAATTATTCTTCACTTTTGAAGGCACCAAATTTTGTATTCGTGTAAATTTGCGTGATATGACGAAAGTTGCTTGTATGTTCGGCGAATCCTTTAAAATCTGATCCATAATAATTGAGCAGAAAAACTTGAGCCCATTATCTACTTCCTTGTGGAACGAAGCACTTCGTAAAAAAATAAATTCTACATAAACTTCTTACGGAGTATGCGTTTCAAAATAATAAAAGCATTCTTGCCGCATGTAGTTTCTTAAGAAATGCGGGCATTTGTAATCATCATTTTTGCTCGTGCCATGCATAGTTTCCATGTTCGTTATATGCCGGCCTTTGTTTGATCGCACAAACTGGTTGTACATGCATTGCATTAGGCACCTAATGAACCACTAAAATTGCCCTCAATGAGAGCCAAGTCATGATGGTATTTGTGTGTGGCTCTGCTTTGAGTTAATGGTCGTAATTGGAGCGCCATTATACCGGCCTTGGAGAAATTGGCCAGGTTTAGCGCTGCTTGTTACCTGGAGCTTGCGGAAACGGATGGAAGTTCTTCAGCTTGGATCAGTCTTTTCATGCAGATCTCAAATGAAGTTCTTGAAAAAATAGAGCCCTAGGCATTATTTATAAAAAAACTTGATAATATGAAACTTCTTTTTCGGTTACTTTCTGATGATATGATGTGATACGTTATCCTTTTCATGTATGTCCGAGTGTTTGTACAAATTATTCGCTCCCCATTTTTTTGTAACTCTCAAATTCATTCGCACAGAACTCGCCATCATATCATTACATTAAGTTTATTCATAATGAATTCGTTCTCTTTAGTGTAGATTTAATTGTGATTTATCGTTACTCCATCACCATTTCAAATTTATTTCCCACCATGAATTAGTTCATCAATATAACAGGTATCTCTTCCTGATACCACGACAAACATGAACATTAAAATAAGGATGCGTTTTGACACTTTGCTCAACTTAGATCAACTTGTAACAAACAACTTACATCTGGACCAAATTTATCTTATAATAACCTGCCATTTACGTTCAGACGAAATTACCATGAAGTTTCCGTTAAGTTTGGCACTCTGTCAAATTATAGCAAACGATAACTTTTTCTCAGCTTTAATTAATCTAGACGAGAATATTTTTCTGTGAGCTTATATGTTCTGCATATCACGGACATTTTTTTAATTCAATCAGTTTTTCCGTTTAGTTTGTGCGGAGTCTTGTTAGCTAGAAACCTCTTATGCATTCATAACTCGGATGCTCTTCATTCCACCAGCCCACAAGGAACGTTGACATACCCACTTATTATGTATTCATAATAATATGTATGACGTACCCACTTATTATGTATTCATAAAATACGTCTTGGCTGGCTCCCGACTCTGCATGCTACCAGAGCTCAATTGAGTCGTTGTTCGTGCATCCATGCGTGCAGTGAAACGGCAGGGCAAGTCCA